CTAACAGTATATTGCTGCCAAAAATAACGAATAAAATCCCTTGTTTTGAAGTGAACACCGGGCTTAAATTAACTCGGAAGGAGTCAAATATAAACGCCAAGTCTTCAAGGCTAAGCGAGTTTAAATAAACGTCGGATTGTTCAAAGCTAGAGAAAATGTACGTAAATTCTTATTTAATCTAATTTAGTTAAACTGTTTTTAAAAAGTACGGATATAGGGCGTTGCTGCTCCCATAGTGACTGAGTAAAGCAAGCTTTGACAAGTTTGTAAGTATTCAAATTAACTAATCTCGGGCTTGACACTGTCTCAGTCGTCTTATTTTGACCTATTTTGATTAGTTCACCCCTCAACAGATAAAAGAAACCTCCCTTCATATTATAGCATGAGGGGAAAAGATACAGATTGACAAAGTAAAATAGCTAGAATATTATTATCCGGTTCCAGATCTAAACAATACCGATTTTGTTTCTCCCAGACTGTTTTGACTGCTTTATCGCAGACAAAACAAATGGGAAAAAGGACAGCATTCTGGTGAAAATTTCGAAATTTCCTAGCTCTAAGACACAATTATTTGTCCCATTATGCTAATAGATTGGATTGCCCTCACAAAGGACATTTACAGCTACGACACGCAAAGAAGCCTTCCAATCTTCGGATTTAGTTTAAAACACGCACAACATCTTTAAGTCGAACTAGCTTGCAGAACATGCGTAATTTGTTTTGCGTATTTTAGGCGAACAGAGGCTCGTGCGCTCTGTTCGCCTAAAATATCTGTTCGCCTAAAATACGCAAAAAAATTATTCCTGTTCTGCAGGCTAAAGTTGAACCTAACCCCACACCGTTTCGATTACCCCCTCCTAGGATTTAACCCTGGAAAATGGCCCCTAAATAGATTTCTTACTCTAATTATCTGCTTTGTGGTTTACTGAATTAAGCTCTCACCCCCACGCCACCCCAAGGCGGTATTTGAAAGGAAAATGAACATTTTCTATGTAACTTCCACACTGTAATACTATGTCTGTTTCCCTTCTCGAGATATCCGGCGACGGCCACGCGCAATGGTGAGTAGCGAGAGGCAGTTAAAGGCGTGAGGCTCGCGCGTGTGCGCTAAACTTTTACAGATCTAGTTTCGGACGCGAGCTGCGTTTCGTTAAGCCTGGTTTTCACTAGCGACGCAAGCACAAGCGCAAACACAATAATTCTTATTTCACCTTGACGCAGGCATAAGCACAAGCACGAGCACAAGGATCAAAATTTTTTGTTTTTCTTGTGCTTGCGACGCTTATACTTGCGTTTGCGCTGCAACAAGTGAAAACGAAATACCGCTCAGGCATAACAGAAGCACAAGGATATTTACCACAAGTGCTTGTGTTTGGCCACTGAAAACACTGGATCCAGATTACCTCGCGCCTAAACAGTTTTCTAAAGTGGCGGAAAGTTTGGATGATTTTGCTTGTGCTTGTGCTTACGTCGAGTTTCGTTTTCACTTGGGTCAACGCTTGCGTTTGTGCTTGCGTTTGTGCTTGCGTTTGTGCTTGCGTTTGTGCTTGCGTTTGTGCTTGCGTTTGTGCTTGCGTTTGTGCTTGCGCTTGTACTTGCGTCGCTAGTGAAAACCAGGCTTTAGCAACGTTACCGCTGCCATTGTCGTCGTGGTTTTCCCTATTGTATTTTAACCTTTCAAAGCTCAATCTGGTTCAGAATTAATCACGAAGCATTTTGAAGCTTTCGGTACTCCCGCATCAGTGCCACTTCCATGTAGGGAATTTAACGTAATGCAGGTACATAGATACCTCATTTTTGCTTGGCAGAGAGCCATACCGTCTATGTGAAAAGAAAATAGGCTTTGCAATAGAGTGCAGGATGCTGAATTTAAATCAATTAGAAAAGTTATGACCAACACTACAGAGGGAGGTGCTACATGTGCACGCGTGGACGAACGAGAGAGTACAACCCTTACACGCGAGGACTGCTTTCCTTGAGGTAATCCGCGGCCGTGCAGTTATATCTCGTTAGCCATCCGTGAACCTGCGTCTAATCCCATGCTAAAAAATCACGAAAGAATACCTCATCAACTGTTAATGAAAGTAGCAGACTATTCACACAGATTCTACACGTGCAATATGCATCAAAAGCTTGTAATGATGTTTCAATACGATGTAGGAGCTACAGTTTTTGTGTTGTTTCAGCTCGTGTGTGGCAGGTTTACACTGCAGGTTCATAGAGAGCAGAGTCAGGTAAATAAAACAAGCTGTTAAACCGGTGATAATCTTGTCCGTGAGGGTACGCAGTTTATTCTTCATGGATTATCCATAAATTGCCTTTAACACTACCGCTGGGTGATCACCCGGGCAAGGGATCTGCAAATGCCAAAGGGTCTTAATTAAAGTCGGGCGAATCAATCACAGGTATTTACAGACTAATTACAAGAAAATAGCAATCAAGCAATGAAGATTTATGTCACAAGTGAAAGAGAACACAAAATATCTTTTAGTACGTCCTGTCCACATCTTGCTCAGCGTGTGCGAGTTTGTTGTAAAATAATGAACTGGGCAGATTGTGGGCACCGTTCTAGTTCAGCTTCAGCAGCCGGAAATTAAGAGAGTAAACGTTACAAAGTTACAATTTACAATTTATCAGTTAGTTTCTGTTTTATACAATTCTGATGAAAATTGATTGGAATGTGTGACATAATAAAAATGAAGAAGACTTATTTCTACATTTATAAAGACAAGCAGCACATGTGGTATGGCGATTCCGTCGTTCACTTGGGAAAACTACCGCGCTGAAAAATTTTGATTGCAATTACATCGTACATAATTATTATATACAAATAAACCAATTCTCTGGCTTGCGTCGCAGAGTGACGGAAATTTCCCTGTAAATAACCCGCGGTAGGTAGCGTCTGCGACGCAGGCTAGTAGAGTTAAGAAAAAAAGTTATTCACCCAGCTAATACGCACATGATCATCTCGCCTTTTCCAATTGTGTTCTCTTATCATTTTTTGGTTGACATACCAAAAATCGTGCAGAATATAGTGATTAACAATTTGTCGAGTGTGCTGTTTGCCGACAGACTAATCCTTGTCTGATAGGAAACGATTATCTTGTTCTCACGGAAAATAGCATATTAAGGGATGAATGGACAACTTTAATAACATTAGGAGTCTTGTTTGCAACTTTTTCCGCGTTGTTAATGAAGTAAAAAGGTGTAAATTCCAAATGACAACAATTCTCAAGACCCAAAGTAAACTTGGTCTGAAACATTTGTATTGAAATAGATAACTTTACAGGAAACTTTGTCACCATTATATTTTTTCAATTTCTCCGAACAACAAGTTAGTTCTCTGTTACCAGTGAACTGCTTGCAATGCCTCACCTGTAACGGAGAAAACAAATCAGTCATTCTGTTCTAAGTACTTATAATTAATTCTCGGATTTCGGCAGCGTCTTACAGATATGTATCGTTTTCGATTAGACGTATACGCCCTCTGAGATTTAATTATATTTTACAAATAAAGAAGTAATCGAGAATTACGATGTATTAAAACACTGACTTTCAAAACTAAGATTTCATTTCTGTGATTTTTGATTTGATCTAAATTTCAAGGAAAACTGACAGGCTTTTCTTCCGGTAGTCGCCTCACATTGGAAACCAAATTTCCGCAAAGTTGCCAGTACCACTCAGTGTCAATGAGGTGAATGTATCAAAAGTCTCAGACGGTGCAAGAATTTCAAAGGAATGGAAGAAAGAACGAGTTTTAATCTTGAATAAGATGCATTGTTTGGTCCACTGTCTAATATGAACTGAGAAAATTGCAAATCTTTAAGTGCAACTCCAGTTAATCGTCGAACTAGTCTATTTGTTTGAGAGGAGTTGATATTTTCATTTTACATTTATGCATTGTTCAAACGAAAAACATATGTTATTGGACATGAAACATCTGTGGCGTCTTTCATTTCAGCAACACCGCCAACCACACGGGTTTACTCAAGGGGTTTCTAATGTTTTTTAAGCCACTTGTGTCCAGCAAAAATATTTTGAAAGCGGACTAAATGGTGAGAGCTTGTTGAAAAGAGGTTTTTGTGAGGGTAAATCGACTCCGTCAACAATTTGGCACTCTATTTCCACGCCACAAACCATTATGTTGTCCATTATCACTCCTGCGCGAGCGACAATGTATAACGCAACGATTAATTACTTCAATTGCCTGACTTGCCGACAAAAAAACACATCGCCGGGGGCAATCACCGTTGCCCTGAGTCCATATGAGCGACGAGGAGGAACAATATAAACACTTGAAGGGAATAAGAGTTTGTTTTCCTACAAAAAACAATCATAGCTTTGAGTAAGTATGATGGTTTTAAAACGTACAATTTTGAGCTGAAATCATTTTCGCAGAAATCTGGTCGTGTCAAAGCTCATATGGAAAACCATTTAAGAAAAGTTACGGACAGTATTACAGAGACTTGCGGGTCATCAGGAAAAAATTACTCATATAACAATTTAATGATTTCATTTCTGCTTGGAACAATAATCGTCTGAAATAATATAATCCAATACTTACAGGAAAAGAGTTGATGGCAGAATAACACCATTGGAGGTTTCCAGGAGTTATTTTAGCGGGATAACAGCTTGTTCAAAAGTGTTGTTTTCAAATTATCGCTTTGCCGGCTGTCTGGTGTCCCGTCCTTATGCGGTGAAATCAATGTTTCGTCATCGCTCATGGAAACTTCTGGTCTCTCTGTTTTGTCTGGCTAATTACGCTAAACACCGGAAACTTCATGCTGAAGCAGTCGGCCGGTGATTGGAGAGTAACCGGGCGATAACAGGCTCGTATTCCCACGATCCACGGGTGGATACGGCGGCACTTTTGATGAAGGTTATGTTGCTCGTCATAGGAACGTTCTCTGGTATTTCCGAGCAGAGTGATGACTGTGGTATATAATAAATCTAATTATCACGGTTAATTGATATAATCAGAAGATAGCCTCCATCTTAAATTAGACATCTTGTAAAGTCGTTTTCACTCTTGTCCCGACTCGCTGTGTAGCGGTCCAAAGCCAATCATAGTTTTAAACTGTCATGCATCACACCAGATCACACGTAAATGGGAATCTATCTTCTCGAGCGAACGCCTTCTCCGTTGAGTCGCTGATATCTCCCGAAAATACAAACCAGGAGGCATTATCTACAAGAATGGCAGCTTCGACAGGTCGTGGATCACCAGACAACTCTGAACAAGGTAAGTTTCCTAGACGATCGGGTGGTCGAACTCACGCGTATTTCAATTCCTCCTCCAACTTCGCCGTTTCTACCTTCTCTGTATTCAGATCTGGCCACCGAAGCTCTAGGCTCAATGCAAGCCATGCAGAGTCGTGTTGGGTCTGAAGAAACATTGGAATGTGAAGACATCACTATTGAGCTGCAAATGAGGGATTTGTGGCAGCGTTTCTTTGAGTTGGGCACAGAAATGATAATTACCAAAGCAGGCAGGTAGGCGAGGTGACAAGAGCTTTTAAACTTCTACTAGTGCCTTTAGGAGGTGGACTTAAAAAGATATTGGCTTGAGGACCGCTGACGTGACTCCATCGCACAGTATTCTGGAGTGGTCTTTTAATCCTAATAAACAACTACGCGGGCAAATATTGACGGAAATAAGTCCAACGAGAAACAAAAATGCCGTTGGACGTTCATTTGGGCGTTTCTTCGCTGAATGAATCCCACGAAAGGAATGATCGGTAGATAGGAAGTGTCGCGCGCAATTTTGTTCAAAAAAGCTAGAGAAGGAAGCCTCGCGAATCCTTGTGTACGTAGTCACAATATAAGGAATCATTTACCTTCGAAGCGTCTATTGTTGTTACTGTACAATTGATCGCTTGAACTGCGAAAGCTCGGAAATAGTAGGGATTTCTCAAGGATATAAACAACTGATAAGAGGTTTTAAGCTCTTCCGTTCTACACACTTCTGCGTTCTGTATCGTTGCGTTGTCGAAGCGATGATAGCGCCAAAAAAAAAAAAAATTCGTCACTGTGAGGTCACCCTGCATAAATTAAGTTTTACCTACCTACCTAGCTAGTTGCTTCTAGTCATGGATGCTGGAAAGAAAGGCTTTGTTTCCAGAACGTCGGAGTGAGGACAAGATCAAAGAGAAACGAAAACAAATTAAAGCGTAACATTTAATCATTTGCTTAATTGCCCACGAGTTAACAAAAAAATGTCCAATGGCACTGGTTTATTTTACAAAAAGTCCTTAAATACTCTGTTAATAAATTCCGCGCTTAGTTTAAATGCTCATGAGATGTACTAAACGTATTCCAAGGGAAAGAAAAATATCATTTGCACGATGCATGGTCTACGTCAATAGGTTTCAGCGGATGAAGCTTCCGAGATTTGTTGCATGTCGTAATAAAATTTAATTTGAATCATTGGCTCGATTACAAAATTCCTTTGTGACTTTATTCTGAATGGGCCTTTATTACAAGCACTTATCGTATCGAAATCATCAACCAAAAAGTTGTACCCTATTTGTCTTGGAAGTGACGGGCGAATTTCTATTTTTGCCCGCCTTAGTGAGGTTTATCAGTCGAAACAGTTTAAATGATGAAATCATCTCTGCAATGATTGGAGTACTTCGCACTTCAAAAAAGCTGTTCCATCTCAAAGCCAGTCGCGATAACCTTAAGCCCGTATATCCCTTGTGGTTGAAATATTTCCTATCAAATGGACTTAGATTTTCTAATGCCGCGAGTTCGTCTCTATATCCGTCCGGCCTTTGATCAGCTCAATCATATGCAACTAACTGTATTACCAAGAAGTACTGAAAGAAATTACATAAATTATTGCTGTGGTAAAGGTTATGTGGAATGATTATAGAACTAAACAAGCTTGTAAACAGCACGAGAAATGTCCTAATTAAGCAAGCTGAAAGGTCGTGAAATGAAATATGTCAACTCACAGAAGCCGTGTCAAGTAGAGAGGATGTGCGCAACACGTATAAGATTTCCCAGTCGTTGTTACTTTGTTTCTGGACGAGAACTGGTGACATTGAATGTCATGTCCCATATAAAAAGAAGAACTTTTGCGCGCTTTCAATCATTTTAATTCTAAAAATTAAACGTCATACTTTCGGCCTGCGGTAGAAACGAGATTGACCGTTGATTCTTTTTTTTTGTTAATGATTTGCCCCTGAAAACGTTGTCAAGTTTCGATCCCTTCATGCTAACCAAAAGCATTGCGACCTGTGGGAATGAGTCTGCATAAACCATGATACGAGGCTGTGAACTTTTTCAAAGTTGTTTTACACATATTTGTTGCTGCGGAGCGAGCGTAGCGAGCGAGTAGCAACATAAACAGGATTTAAGAAGAATATGTAAAAGGGGATCCAAATTCTCGAATTCATCATTTTTTACCAGAATGCATCGCATTTAACCAGAATGCACTGCGCCACTTTTTACCAGAGTGCGTTGCGCCACGAACTACAGGAGGACGCCTTTTCGCATGGATTCCAGTGAGAAAGATTAGTGGTTGTGTTTTGCTCTGATTTACCTGTAAAACGATGTGAAGGAGATTGTGCCTGCTTTCACAACTCTTGCTTTTG